TCATTGGACCAGCTACAGACATCGTGACTAATATAACCAAAGCCTTCCCCTTTACACCACTCCTTTAGCCACATATTGAATTCTGCTATACGCTGGCCTTTTCCATTTTGCTCCTTACACAGTGGTAAAACTCTGAAAAAGTAAACCTACAGTCTATCCTGCTAAGTTCCTGCCCCAAGTTTTGGAAATCATTCTGCACAATGAGTACATCTTTTTGGGACAGATCGTTAGTGCCAAGATGTACAATAGCATCCACATCACAGTCCTTGCTGGCATTTTTCATTATTTTAAAAATACGTTTCTTGTCTCTACTGGCAGTAGCACCTGGAAGACACCTGACCTCTTTCAAAACCTCTGTGTCCTTTCCTAAATTTACATCCCTTATAATTGAATCACCAACCAGAAGGTGGCTTCTTTTTTTGGATGCCTTTCTCTTCTTGCATGACTTATGTGTAATACCGATTCACACTTCTCCCTGTCAAAAACCAAGTTCTTCATCTTGGACCACAACCCCCTGCTTATTTGAGTTATTATCATAACTATCTTGACCTCCCCTTTATGGATTACTGCCTTGTCGTGGCGAAGGGGCTTGCGTAACTCAATGAAGCTATAAGCTATGCCGTGCAGGGCCACCCAAGACCGACAGGTTATAGCAGAGAGTTCTGACAAAATGTGATCCACTGGAGAAGGAAATGGCAAACCACTCCAGTATCTTTGCCATGAAAACCCCATGGACAGTACTAAAAGGAAAAAAGATATGACGCTGGAAGATGAGCCCCTCAGGTCGGAAGGTGTCCAATATGCTACTGGGGAAGAGCAGAGGGCTAGTACTAGTAGCGCCAGAAAGAATGAAGCGACTGGGCCAAAGCCGAAAGGACGCTCAGCTGTGGATATATCTGGTGGTGAAAGGAAAGTCCGATGCTGTAAAGATTTTTTCTCCATAGGAACCTGGAATGTAAGATCCATGAATCAAGGCAAGCTAGACGTAGTCAAAAAAGAGATGACAAGACTGAACATCAACATCTTAGGAATCAGCGAACTAAAATGGACAGGAATGGGTGAATTTAACTCAGATGACCATCAGGTATACTACTGTGGGCAAGAATCCCTCAGAAGAAATGGAGTAGCCTTCATAGTCAATAAAAGAATAGGAAAAGCAATACTGGGATACAATCCCCAAAATGACAGAATGATCTCAATTCGAATCCAAGGCAAACCATTCAATATCACAGTAGTCCAAATCTATGCCCCAACCACTGGTGCTGAAGAGGATGAAATTGACCGTTTCTATGAAGCCCTACAGCACCTTATAGAATTAACACCAAAAAATGATGTCCTTATCATCATGGGGGATTGGAATGCTAAGGTAGGAAGCCAAAAGATAACCGGAATAACAGGCAAGTTTGGCCTTGGAGTACAAAATGAAGCAGGGCACAGGCTAATAGAATTTTGTCAAGAGAATACGATGGTCATAACAAACACTCTTTTCCAACAACCCAAGAGACGGCTCTACACATGGACATCACCAGACAGTCAACATAGAAATCAGATTGACTATGTGCTCTGCAGCCAAAGATGGAGAAGCTCTATACAGTCAGTAAAAACAAGACCAGGAGCTGACTGTGGCTCAGATCATGAGCTTCTCGTTGCAAAATTTAGGCTTAAATTGAAAAAAGTAGGGAAAAGCACTAGGCCACTCAGGTATGAACTAAATCATATTCCTGATGAATATACAGTAGAGGTGACAAATAGATTTAAGGAATTAGATCTGATAGACAGAGTGCCTGAAGAACTATGGATGGAAGTTCGCAACATTGTACAAGAGGTAGCAACTAAAACCATCCCAAAGAAAAAGAAATGCAAGAAAGCAAATGGCTGTCTGAGGAAGCTTTGCAAATACCTGAGGAAAGAAGGGAAGCGAAAGGCAAAGGAGAAAGAGAAAGATACACCCAATTGAATACAGAATTCCAGAGAATAGCTAGAAGAGATAAGAATACCTTCTTAAATGAACAGTGCAAAGAAATAGAAGAAAACAACAGAATAGGGAGGACCAGAGATCTCTTCAAGAAAATTGGAGATATGAAGGGAACGTTTCATGCAAAGATGGGCATGATAAAGGACCAAAATGGCAGAGACCTAACAGAGGCAGAAGAGATTAAGAAGAGATGGCAAAACTACACAGAAGAACTATACAAGAATGAGCTTAACATCCCAGATAACCACAATGAGATGGTCACTGACCTCGAACCAGACATCCTAGAATGTGAAGTGAAATGGGCCTTAGAAAATCTGAGCAACAACAAAGCTAGTGGAGGTGACAGTATTCCAGCTGAGCTATTCAAAATCTTAAAAGACGATGCAGTAAAAGTGCTACACTCAATTTGCCAGCAAATTTGGAAAACTCAACAGTGGCCACAGGATTGGAAAAGGTCAGTTTACATTCCAATTCCAAAGAAAGGCAATGCCAAAGAATGTTCAAACTATCGCACCATTGCACTCATTTCACATGCTAGTAAAGTTATGCTTAAAATCCTACAAGCTAGACTCCAGCAGTATGTGGATCGAGAACTACCAGAAGTACAGGCAGGATTTCGAAGAGGCAGAGGAACTAGAGATCAAATTGCCAACATACGCTGGATCATGGAGAAAGCTAGGGAGTTCCAGAAAAACATCTACTTCTGCTTCATTGACTATGCAAAAGCCTTTGATTGTGTGGATCACAACAAATTGTGGCAAGTTCTTAAAGAGATGGGAGTACCAGACCATCTCATTTGTCTCTTGAGAAACCTATATGCGGGTCAAGAAGCAACAGTGAGAACCGAACACGGAACCACTGATTGGTTCAAAATTGGAAAAGGAGTCCGGCAAGGCTGTATACTGTCGCCCTGCCTATTTAACTTATATGCAGAGCACATCATGAGAAAGGCAGGGCTAGATGAATCAAAAGTTGGAATTAAGATTGCCGGGAGAAATATCAACAACCTAAGATATGCAGATGATACCACTCTAATGGCAGAAAGTGAAGAGGAACTAAAGAGCCTCTTGATGCGGGTGAAGAAGGAGAGTGCAAAAGTTGGCTTGAAACTCAACATTAAGAAAACCAAAATCATGGCATCCGGCCCTCTCAATTCCTGGCAAATAGATGGGGAAGAAATGGAGGTAGTGACAGATTTTATTTTTCTGGGCTCCAAGATCACCTCAGATGGGGACTGCAGCCAAGAAATTAAAAGACGCTTGCTCCTGGGGAGGAAAGCTATGGCAAATCTAGACAGCATTCTAAAAAGCAGAGACATCACCCTGCCAACAAAAGTGCGTATAGTCCAGGCCATGGTTTTCCCAGTTGCAATGTATGGCTGTGAAAGTTGGACCATAAGAAAGGCTGAGCGCCAAAGAATTGAGGCCTTTGAACTATGGTGCTGGAGAAGACTCCTGCGAGTCCCTTGGACTGCAAGGCGTTCAAACCGGTCAGTCCTAGAAGAGATCAACCCCGACTGCTCTTTAGAAGGCCAGATCCTGAAGTTGAAACTCAAGTACTTTGGCCACCTAATGAGAAGGAAGGATTCACTGGAGAAGAGCCTAATGCTGGGAAAGATTGAGGGCAATAGAAGAAGGGGACGACAGAGAATGAGATGGCTGGATGGAGTCACTGAAGCAGTAGCTGTGAATTTAAATGGACTCCAGAAGATGGTAGAGGACAGGAAGACCTGGAGGAACATTGTCCATGGGGTCGCGACGGGTCGGACACGACTTCGCAATTAACAACAACAACACCTTGACCTGGCTTCTTAATGTCTCTATTAAGATCAGCAAGCGCACTGTATCTGTTATGCAGGGACACAGCAAAAGCTTTATGTTTATGGTTCACAGCTCTCACCCTGCCAGATCCCACAGTTGTCCACACTCCCCTTCTCTAGTTTTTGGGAGAAGGAAGTAATAGAGAAAGGATTAATAATCTCACCCAGTTCCATGCACATTGTTTAAAATGCTGATAATGATGTTTTTTTTATTCGGAAGTGCAGCTAGCCTTGACCGCTGTCTTTCCATGATCTACGAGATTCCCCTCCTTCTTCATCACCTCTCCAGGGTGACTTTAAACCCATTTAGAGCCCCCTGGTAGGGCGAAATCAGTCGTGGGAAGTGGAGCCCCACTTAAACCAGAAGTCTTGATGGTAATTCCACTCTTGAACATGTATCCATATCCAGCCCTTGTGATTATCTAGCTGAGTGGTTTAAGCCTATGCAGAACAGCATCTTTTAGCATACTATCTGATGGTACTTCTCTAATGAGCCTTGGCAACCAGTCTCGAGGGTTGATTGCAGCTAGTTTATCTATGATCTTATGTCTTCTATCAGCTGTTGTGCTCTGTAATGAAGAGGGTGGTATTGACATCTCAGCTTCAGGGATTGGCTACACATCCAGTTGTTTTTCCATGTCTTGGGTATGGGATGTAATGTGTAATTGGTCTATTTCAAGTTATGAGAGCAGTTTCCTCTTCATTATGTTAAAACATTGGATATCTGGCTGTTTCTCAGTTGGTGTGGGGATGCAGGTCTTCTGTCCATCCATAGTTCCCTCATATGTTTCATATATCCCCTCTCATTAGATCTACTGTTGTAGTAGCAGTTCATCAATACCAAGTTCTCTTGTTTTTTTCCATGAATGGTTTGTTCCAGTAACAAACTTACCACTTACAGACTGTTCTGGTTCCTCAACATCTGACACGGACCTTGTTAATCCGGATGACATCCGAATAGGCATGACTCTCCCAGTTCGTGTCACTATCATTTTCTGAGGTAGGAAAGTGAAGCGTCAGGGGGTCTTTACCCATGGACACATAATGGTAAGGGATTTGAACCCTGGTCTCCCACATCAAAGGCGGTATTCTAACCACTAAGCTATCCAACCACTACACACACACACACACACACACACACACACACACACACACACACGCATCCTATTACTACAAGGATTTTTTTTATTGGAACTGTAGACTTACCATTTGGCATCCCATTGTGATCTGCAAGCAAAATATCGTTGAACTTGACTTTGATTTGTTGCATACATACCAACCGAAGTAAAAGTGCCACCAATCACAACAGTCCACACAGTGTGTCTTTTCAAAGGATTTGGGTTAAAGCTACATAGAAAATTCAAGAAAATAATTTAAATTTATCACTGAAAGAACTCAAGAATTTAGTGGAAAAAAAATGGACATTTGAATTTAATAAAAATATATATTTTTCCCAGTATAAATATAGAATAGTGGTTCTCAACCTGTGGGTCGGGACCCCATTTGGGGTCGAGCGACCATTTCACGGGGGTCGCCAAACAACGCAGTCCGCCATTTTTTTCCCCTTTTCCTTAGCTGTGCTACTCCCTTTTATTCTATTGGCTTTTGAAAGCCAATAGAATAGACTCTCTTGAATAGAGTCTAATTCTATTGGCTTTCAAAAGCCAATAGGAATTGTCCAGGCTGTCTCTGCCCTGCTGAGCCCGCCAAAAGTCCCATTCTGCAAACGGTGCTGCACCAGTTGAGTAGTCCTCGACTTACGACCGGTTGAGTAGTCCTTGACTCACGACCAGTTGGGGGTTGTGGCATTAAAAAGGTTGAGAACCACTGATATAGAAACTATAAATAAACAAAGTCATTACAAAAGCCAACATGGTTTGAAAAACAGACTAATTTTATTGCATTCTTTGACCAGGTGACAAAATTAGTGGACCAGAGGAATGCTGTGGATATAATTTACTTGGACTTCAGTAAGGCATTTGATAAAGTAGACCACAACCTACTACCTGATGAGATAGAAAAATGTGGGTTAGACAGCATCCCCACCAGGTGGATTTGTAGCTGGCTGACTGGCCAGATTCAGCATGTGGTCCTCAATGGAACTGCATCTACATGGAGGGAAGCGTATAGTGGGGTGTCCCAGGGCTTTGTTCTGGGCCCACAGCTCTTCAACATCTTCATCAACGATTTAGATGAGGGGATAGATGGGGAACTTATTAAATTTGCAGACGACACCAAGCTGGCAGGAATAGCCAATACTCCAGAAGATAGGCTTAAGATACAGAAGGATCTGGACAGACTTGAACATTGGGCAGTATCTAGCAAAATGAAATTCAATGGTGAAAAAAGTAAGACTCTATATTTAGGCAAGAGAAACCAAATGCACAGGTATAGTATAGGTGGTACCTTGCTCAGTATAGCAACTGTGAGAGGGATCTTGGAGTCCTAATGGACAATGACTTAAATATGAGCCAGCAGCGTGCTGCAGCTGCCAAAAAAGCCAACACAGTGCTAGGCTGCATTAACAGAGGGATAGAAACAAGATCACGTGAAGTGTTAATACCACTTTACAATACCTTGGTAAGGCCACACTTGGAATGCTGCCTCCAGTTTTGGTCACCACAATGTAAAAAATATGTTGAGACTCTAAAAAGAGTACAGAGAAGAGGGGACTGGAGGCTATGATTAGGGGACTGGAGGCTAAAACATATAAGGAACGGTTGCTGGAATTAGGTATGTCTAGTCTAATGAAGAGAAGGACGAGGGGTGTTCCAATATCTCAGGGACTGCCACAAAGAAGAGGGAGTCAAGCTATTCTCCAAAGCACTTGAAGGCAGGACAAGAAGCAACAGATGGAAACTAACCAAAGAGAGAAGCAACCTAGAACTAAGGAGAAATTTTCTGACAGTTAGAACACTTAATCAGTGGAACAACCTGCTTCCAGAAGCAGTGAATACTCCAACACTGGAAGTTTTTAAAAAGAGACTGGACAGTCATTTGTCTGAAATGGTATAGGGTTTCCTGCCTGAGCAGGGAATTGGACTAGATGACCTCCAGGGTCCCTTCCAAGTTGTTTTTTTATATTATTATTATTATTATTTACTTTAAAAAGTCAGTCTTATAAGTGACACTTCTCATGTAGTCATGTTGTCATGTGAGCAGACGTCACACAACGTATCGGAACTTTTCCCCCATTGCTGGCAATGGGGTGGGTGCGGTTTCTTCATGACATATCGGCCAACGGGCCGGCAGTTTGACACCCCTGATCTAGAACAAGCTCCTATTTTGCCTATAACATATTACAATATCACAAAATATTTCATTCCATAAAGAAAGGTATGGAACTCCAAATTGTTGCCATTTTTTTTCTTTCTCATTGCAAGTTGGAGAAAATATTAGTTGAATTAAACAAAGAAAAGTGGAGGACTATGCATTGGCAAAAAATATTTCTTATGGCTTTCTGAAAAAGGCGGCAGAGAAGACTAATTTCTGAACTTAGCACACAATTAAGACACATGGTACAGTCTGAAAACTATTGGGGAAGAAAGTTTTCTCTGAAGGACTACCTACAAATGGTGACTGGCATTTCATGGGCTATAATTATGTCAACATATTGTGAGAATCATCTGAGTCAGTCACATCTCATCATGAAACGACAGTGGCAAGGATTTAGAATTTTTGTACAATTACTGCTTTGGCATTACTGTCACCATTATTTAGAAATTTTACTTTTTAAATTTCAAAAGAAGAGAATCCTGTTGCTATGGTTCATACAGACCAACAAAAATTCCTACCTCCTGGTCAACCTTATTAAATTTATTAGGATAGTAAAAATATTTAACTTTGATAACTTTTTATTGTAGGTATACAGATAGTCTAAACAAGATAGAAGCTTTTCTTCCTGAGTTACATTGTTATTCAAGAGTATCTTCTATTTCTTTTAATACAAATGGTTATCACTAAGAAGAAAGATGACTCTCTAATTTAATCTGGCATTCATATATACAGAAGATTTAGGTGAAGAGACAAGCCTTTAGCAGTCACTTTAAAAAGATGACAGTAAGATCCTAAGAGAGAGAATATTTCTGTTTAGATATAATATAAATGACTGTTCTTTAAAAAGAACCCAAATCAGCTTGTTATAGTAACTTGTATTAATACAAAATGTTTATTATTTATTTATTTATAAAGTTTAATGGCCACCCACCTTAGCACAGGGCATTCTGGGTGGCTTATAATCGTAAAAGATATATACAGTATAGATATCCTAAAAACATAAATAAATACCAGCATATGCCACGATCTAGTTACAGATGGGGAAGGAGGGCGGGGGGGGGGAAGTGAGATCTGTTGTTAATCTATCAACTATATTATTATTATTATTATTATTATTATTATTATTATTATTATATGGCTTGTTAATTTGCTATTTAAAAATTATTTAGATTCATATCAGTTGTCCACCTGTTCAAATATGCATTCATAAATTTAAAAAAAACTTTAATAGTTTTAATAAAAAGTTTCATTTTTTATTACTTTCTATGCAAAAGAATACTTACTCCCAAATGTTTAGTCTTCCTCCCTGGTAAGCATCATCTAGAATAGGGCCAAATCCTCCTTTAATTATCACAGCCTTTGCAAACACTACTCCAAGCCCAATTATCATCAGTATATATTGGAAAACAGCTGCCCAGACTACTGCCTTTAGGCCACCCTAGTCGGAAACAGATATTATATATAGTAAAATATATGCTCTGCCTATATAAACATGCATATAAAATCTGACAAGGATATGTTTCAATGACAAATGTTTTCATTTTTGCACAAATTACCCACTAAAAATAAAAATATTGGCATAGATCATGTATATATTCATTTGCCTTTAGAAAAGAAAATTTTAAAAAGTTGAGCTTTCGTTTATATTCTAGTATTCAAATTTGTTTCAACTGACTATATTAATATTCATATTCTAAATAATATCAGCTTCTTTTCTGAAAACAACTAGGAGCTGCTGTGTTTGTGATATTCTTTTAGGGGCCTTTTTTCTTTAATTAGGCTATATTATAATATTATAAATATTTGTCTATAGATCAGCGGTTCTCAACCTATGGGTCGCGACCCCATTTGGGGTCGAACGACCATTTTACGGGGGTCGCCAAACAACGCGATCCGCCATTTTTCCCCCTCAGGGGGCGCCGCCACGCATGCGCACCGCGCATGGGGCGGCGCGTCCGTGTGACAGGGGTCGCCGTCACACAAAGGTTGAGAACCGCTGCTATAGATTGTTTTTTATATAATACAGAAATTTTTACATGGTGAAAAGGCCAGGCCCTTAAAAACAGTTTTTTAAATTAACTCTGAAGCATCTAAGAAAGATGAGTTTTCTGCAATTTAAGACTATAAACATGAAATTCCATATGCTTCCATGTTTGAAAGTACCGGATAAGAGAATAGGGAAAACATATATTAAATCTAACATGGATTGCTTTACTAATAATTTACAAAATGTGAATTATAGAGATTTGTTAACATACTACTGAGCAGTAGAAGGTGCAGATTAATCCTGTTGCTATTACTGATCCCCACAACTGAAATCCTGTAACTGAAAAAAAAGACATTGTTTTTGAAATATTTCTAGGATAGCACAGAAGAAATATATTTAATTAAAGAAAAGCTAATCAGAAGTACACAAAACCCCCATAAATTATAGTGTATATGGTACATACATAGATTGAAAACCTCTTAATTGACAGCCCATAGGCACACAGCTAATGTCTCAGCTGAGTACACATCTTTGTCTCAAGCACAGACTTTGCTATGTAAGTGAAAGGCAAATTTATCTTCAGTCCTCCTTCTCAGAAGACTTCGTTATTTTGAGAGACTGTAAGCAAATCTCTGTGAAAAGAGAGAAGAGCAGGAAGAGGTGTGCCAGAGTGAAAAGAATAACCTGTGATTATTTTAACCCCAAACTAAGAACAGAAAATTTACACAAAAATCAATTAAACAATGAACTAATTGGAAATCTTTTCCTCAACAAGTTTTTTTTATAATAAATCACAGGAAGACAAAATTACCTTCAGAAGAATTAGACTTAAAAGTAGGGCAGTGAATGAGAAGTAGACACATTCAGACTTTCCAGCAGTAATTATTTAATGATACTATGTTTTGTTTATGTAGTCATCCTTTTCTTTGTTCCAAACTCAATAAAGTTTGGCTCTAGGTTATGCAGCTTTTTCTGTGTTAGAATGTTATGTCCTAGGCAGGATATAAATGTTCACAGTACCTTTATTCAAAGCCAGTGATGGAGAATATATAACAATGCTGGTGTATAATATCTGCAGAAATAACAGAAAGAAAGAAGCATGAGCACATAGGTATCCTCATAAATATTTATTTATGTTAATTTATATTGAATATAATATGAAATAAGAACTATGTAAATTTACTATAATAAAAATTAGTTTTGACCAGTATAATACGAGTTCAAGATGAGAAGAAAAACCAGATTGTAAATTCCCATTAGAGCTTTGTATTTTTCGCTATGCAACTGTTATTTTTATACCTGATTTTTTTTATAATAAATTCTCTATACCCAAAGAGTACAATAGGATAGTTAAAATGTTTCAGATCAAGTAAACCATCTTATATGATAACTTATGAACAAGTTCTAAGAACAAATAGTAACAGAACATTTATTACCATATTTTCAATATATATTTAGTGTCCTGTTTCCATACTTTTTATATATGACAGAGAATATACACAATATACTTTTCCTTATAAATATGGCCTTTTATAAATTAACTCATTAAAAGCCAATTTAATTTTAAACCAGGAACATACCATTTACAATACCAAATTTATATATTATTTGCAGTAAGTAACACTGCATTTAAAAACTATTGTTTATGATACTTTAAATAAGGTTTAAAGATAATCAATAATATTTGTGTTTCTACTTGCCGTTAGTATTATAAACATCATTGTTCCAAGAATACGCATATACTTATTATACCGAAGCTCCAAGTACTGCAAGAGAGGTAAGTTATTAAAACAAAATAAATGTGCTTATGTATAGAAAAATGCAATGTACAGAAGGAAAAGAGCAAAGAAGTTTTAATGCCCAAATTTTAACAAGAAAGCCAACGTAAGAGTTAACACAAATTTTTCAGGGAATTCTAGAGAGGAAGAAAAGGAATTTGCTTGTGAAGTGTCAAACATTTTCTGAATAGTTGTAGATTACAATGGAAGTATCTTGAGAAAGGGTGATCCCGTGGTATTGGTACTTGTGAAAAATATATTGGAATAATGACTATAAGCAGAAAATGACTGCAGTGTAAAATGATTACAGAAAAAAAATCAAAAACAACTTTAAGATGCACCAACAAAAGAATACACTTTCCAAATTGCGGCAAATAAGTATAGTCTCATTTTATTCTGCTGTGATCAGAGTACAATGTCCTCTTCTGGACATCATACTTGATGAGAGTGGAGAATATGGCACGTTAAAGAGTGAATGAGAATCTGTTCTCCTTCATTTCAGAGTGCAAGCCATAAAAACAAATTTAAATTACAGGAAGATTCCAATTAAAAGAGTGTACAGATCCGCGCATGGCTCGCTGCATTGTACTGCATATACCATGCTAATGCTTCCACTCTTATGTTTCTAAAGGTTAGTATTGGTTACAATCAAGTATTGGTTTCTATTTTTCTTTAGAATGGGGAGCCACATGAAAAGATCGCATTTTATTCCCATAAACAGAGATGACTAAAAAATAAAAGGACACAGTTGGGGGAATGAAATTGATAATATATCCATAGTATATACTGCTCCCATTTTAGAAGGCATCTCTTTTTTAGGGAATCTTGATAAGTTATACTTTTGGAACAAAAATTGAAGGACCTATTTTAAGAAAAATCAGCAAATTAAATTGTTCTAAGATAATATTTTTGCAAGATAATAAATTCCACTTAGTTCCAAGAAACCTGAAGTTTCATTTTAAATTAATTTTAACCTTAAGATAACTAAGAACAGTTTATTCTTTTAGCATTGTTAATTTATTAAATGCCTAAGTTGTACCAATGGTTAGTTAATTTATTTTTAACAGAATTGAAAAAAGGGCTGAGAAGTTTAAATTATTAATGAAAAATATATATTCTTACCGCTTGCAATTCTGAATTGCAATTAACAGAGTTGCCCCAATGGCCAACACGTGGCCCTCTCAAAAAAGTAAGAATTTAAATGGAGGGGTTCTGAAACGTTTTACATTTCGTCATTTGTAAGTTTAATATAAACCACTGATTGAAATCCAAGAAAGATTCAGAAATTAAAACCTTTCCTGTTGGGTCTCCGTGCAATTTCAATATGAAAATTAGATGGGCAAGCTCTTGCTATGTCAGAGAAGAAATAGAAGTCTGTATTTATTATTATGCCGCCCATTTCATTATCCAAACGAAATCTTAAGCTACACATCCCGGTCCAGGAAAACACTGGAAAAGTTTTAACATTAAAATAGACTGTATAGAGTTATGACGTAACGTGAGATGTAAATTTTAGCTTGCCATGGCGTAGGTAGGTACGGCTGCTATTCCTACCTCGTAAACGCTGGTGAGTCCCAGTCGATAGAAGACGGGTAGGAACACTTCAGCAATGATCACCACCATGATGGCGTACGAAAAAGCAAAGAGGAGAAAAACACTTCCGAAGCGATAGACTTCTGCCGGAGTTCCCAGCACTGTCAAGGCCGACATATAGCTAGTCGCGAGAGAAAATGCCACAGGCAAAAAACTTAGATTGCGGTCTGCCATCAGAAAGTCCTTGTGAGATTTTAGGACTCCCTCGAAGGCGTAGAATACGCCAACTACCGCCGACAAAAGCAACATTGTGGAAAAGATGGCATAGTCCAGGGTGGTGAAACGTTGACTCAGTATGTCAACGCCAACATCGGACTGAGAGCTGGTCGTCGTCATGATAATTCGGCCCACTCGAGGGCAAGCAATAGTCTGGGCCAACTAGAAGAAAGGTGGCACAGAATCTTCCCTTGCGAAGCTGTGGCCGCAAATACAGCACCTCTCGGGTGGTTTAAGGTCGACTCGCCACTCTGAAGGACTGTTTTCCTTCCACAGCCGAAACCCAATGCAAGCCCTCCTAGCTGCGCGCCCGAGAAGCCACGCGCTGCCAACCGCCCAGACCAGGCCTCCGCGCCCCATTGCTTAGAAGCGCTCGTGGAGCCTTGAGAGCGGCGCACGGGGCCGTTTTCCCACTTCGCTGCGCTTTTCGACCCGCTTCTCCCGTTGTTTGTAGGCATTCCCTCCTACATCGGGTTTTTCTCGTGCCCACCTTTTCTCTTTATCAGATTGCCCTCCTTTTTTCATCCCCCATTCCCAGCTGAGCTGAACAGCTTTTTTCATCTAACACTTTCCCTCTTAAATCCCATGTGTTTGTGTTTGATAATTGTGTTTTTTTTCTTTATACTATTTTTTTTTCTTTGCCAAGACTTAGCAAAATAGGCAGCTTTTGGAAGGAGTTGTGAACCAGGCAGATTTTCTGATACACAAGTATTATCCAGAAATATATTTCAGCTGGAAAGAATAAGAAGTATTCTTAATTACCTTGTGAGTTACACGGTGACAATAAGATATTCTATTCTATTCTAGACCTTTTTTAAACCATAGTGAAACTAAAGAAAAAAAGTAATTATTTTTTGTATTACTTAAAAAAGGCTTTCTTCCCCCAAGTGTTGGCTGCCGTGCATTTAAATTTTGCTTAAAGTTCTTTTAAAATGCCAGAATGTTATTTTCCATTTTCAGATACAAAATCTTCAAAACAAATTTTATTTAATGGGCACAGTCTCAGCTCATAAGGAAATTTTTTGTATCAGCCCTTCAAAATGCTGCATTAAAGTTAGTGTTCTTTGGAATTTGGAAATAGTTGTGTGATGTAAGTATTGCACTGACTTTAAATAAAGAATTGACTACTTAGAAAAACATACTTAAGGTAGAATAGACTAGTCCTGTTGGGCTTCCAAATCTTTGACACATTGTTCAAATGTATTGAGTGCATGCTAATAGCCCATCATTAGGAATGCCTTCCTGGAAGTGTGTTGAAGTTTTTGTAAGGTTGTTCTGAACTAAATTGATTTGTAACTATCCTCAATAAGCAAAAAACTCAAATCTGTGTGAAAGTACAGTAACTAGAATACGAGTCCATACATCTGTTTTAACTTTAGATGGTTCTGCATCTCTCCTTAATACTGCATTTGGAACAGAAGGAGCTACTTGGAATATCCTTAGGAATTTAGATTATATCCTTTCATGAAGTGTAAAGGAAGTGTAAAATCTAATTTTTCAACCAACGAGCAGTTTGAGCTCAGCTATGCTAATACATATTCAATTCCTAATCCTTCATTCTTTCCTCTAGCCAACAATAAAATAAGTCCCAAATTTGGTAGTAATCTGTGTCTTCTTTATCTTTCAATCTCATGGTTAATCTGTACATCTCTGCGCATTCCAATATTTTTCTGATTATTTCTTCTGATGGTAGTCCTTCATTCTTCCAATATTGCATAAAGATTATTCTCACTGCTGTGGTAATGTGTAAAATCAAATATAGACTTCGCTTATTAATCTTTTCAGGCACTATACCTAATAAGAAAAGTTCAGGTTTAAAATCAACATGTTCACCTAATATTTTTTCTAACCACGCATTTATCTTTTTCCAATAAGCCTTTGCTTTGCCAAATGTCCACCAAATGTGATAGTACATGCCTGAGTTGTGCTTACATTTCCAACATCTATCTGACATATTTTTAAACATTTTTGCTAATCTTGCTAGTGGCAAGTGCCATCTATAAAACATTTATATAAGTTTTCTTTATATGAAGTTGACATTGTTAATTTGTAATTTCTCTCCCATAGCTTTTGCCACTTTTCTAGTTCTATATTGTAGCCAAAGTTTTTCGCCCATCTTATCATTGTTCCTTTAACTTCTTCATTTTCCATTTCTAAAATTAACAAAAAATTATACATTTTCTTAATTAATTTCTCATCTGAGATTAACAAAATCTTATCAAATACAGTTTGATCTTTATAGAATTCATATATTTTCACGTCTTTTTCATATCTATTTTGCATCTGTAAATATTCTCACCACAATAGGTTGATCCCTGATTTTCCATTCTTGCTTAGATTTTAAATTCCCATCAATATTTAGAATATCTCTATATGCCCCTATTTTTTTCAAAATCTACCAAGTTCGGATATACAAATGCCTCCATCGTTGATAGCCACACTGGAATTTTTAAGTATATTTTGGCTTTGATTTTTTTCCCGTACTATTAACAAGGCATTTTTTATATAATGGTTTTGGAAATACTTATGAACTCTGTTTTTTCCATACCATAAGAAAGCTGCCAACCCAATTGTAAATCATGCCCCTCTAAATATAACAACCTTTTATTTCTAAGCATTATCCATTCTTTCACCTATGTTAAGACAGATGCTTGATAATACAACACCCATTCCGGCAACCCAAATCCTCCATTTTCCTTAACGTCTTGTAATGTTTTCATCTTAATTCTAGCTTTCTTCCCCTGCCAAACAAAGTTCAAAATTAATGAGTTTAAATCTTGGAAGAAGTTTTTCTCAAGTTTTATCAAAATTGTTTGAAATAAAAATGAAATCTTTGGCAATATGTTCATTTTTATTGTAGCAACAGTAGCTGTATGCGAGCTTTAGTTGAATTGCTTACACCTAATGGACAAAATCTTGCCAAACTAAATGTTCTAACCTACTAGATATATCCTGAGAGATTCTAGGGAAGTGGTGGTGAATCTATGGCACAGGTGCCAGAGGCGGCACTGAGAGCCATCTCTGTGGGCACGTGCACCGTTTCCCTAGCCCCGCCTTTCCCCATGGCCCCCTCCTCACCAGCAGCCCCCCCGGAGGAGAGTAGCGCAGCCAAGGACATGGCAGACAGGCAGCAGAGACAAGACTCCGCCCTTGCACCCCATCGCAGATGATGCTGCGGGGTGCAGGCAGAGGACTTGACTGCCATGGTGCTGCAGGGCTGCCTGGGTGATCTGTAGTGGGCCATGGAAGCTGTAGCTGGCCCTGCAGGTGGGCGGGGCAGGAGGCAGAGCGAGCAAGGGCAGGGTGTTTTTTGGGCACTTGGTATCTAAAAGGTTCACCATCACTGTTCTAGGGTGTGGCTATATTGAATCTCTTCCTCCCTCTTCTAGTCAGCTTGGGCCTACATAGTCTCTTAATTTGGATCTCTCTCTGGGAGACATCTGTACTACCAAAACTCTCCTCTATTGCTCTGCAGATGCACATTCTATCACAATTAATATTGAACCTGTTTTATATGTGTATTGTTTTGATCAGATGTTGAAGTATAAGGGCATGTCCATAGATAGAATGCCTGTTCCTAAAGCCTGCTTGCTCATCTGACAATATACAGTATGCTCTAGGTTGATCTAGTCAACTAATTTATTGTATGTGTCTGCCACAGAGCTTGCTTATAGTTGAAAGGCCAATAAGGCTATAATTAGACAGGTCTTGGGTGCCCTTTATATAAATGTGCACTATATGAGGTCTAGTCCTTTGGGATTTACATAGTGCAATCAATATAAATAAATACAGAAGCAGAAACTAGGGCCCACCATTCCAAATTATTGTGTAGTGTTTCAGGAATGATAAAGTTATTACCTGGAGATTTACCAGGTTTTATCTGATTTATAAGTGTCTTTATTTCAGCAGTAGAAACTGGAGTCCAATAAGGGAGCAAGTTAGCGATTATATTTGACTCAGATTTAGGAGACTCTTATTTCGAAGATAATGCTCTAAAACAGGGGTCCTCAAACTTTTTAAATGGGGCCAGTTCATTGTCCCTCAGACTGTTGGGGGACCGGACTATAGTTTGAAAAAAATTAATGATTATAACCAAAGCATCCTTAAGATAGGATGGAAGACCACCGGGATAGGCCAGGAGCAGGGGCCAAGGGGATGGCAAAAGGGCAGCAGGGCAGGACTAAGGCAGGACTTCCCATCTCCTTCCTTTCTTCTTTCCTTCCATCCTTCCTCCCTCCCTCCCTCCCTCCCTACCCTCCTTCCTTCCCTGCCTCCCTCCTTCTCATCTCCTTCCTTCCTCCCTCATTCTCATCTCCTTCCTTCCTCCCTCCCCAGGAAGGGAAAGGGGAGGGGGAGAGGTTGCCAGCAAGGCCGGCGGCCGTGCTACCGGTGGCCATGTCTTGAAAGGCCACTGTAAATTCCTGGACAATAGCTGCACAGCCTTAAGACAGAGTGGCGATAAGATATTTGTGATGAGGGAGGGAGAAAAACAGACAAGAAATGCAGCTGAGGAAGTGTTAACCTCCGTGAGGAATGAAGAAAGGCACCATTGGCTGGAGGTGATCAGCAATTGGCCCTTGCCGCCTCCTGTGAGCATGCTGAGGCAAGTTCAGTTTCTCGCTAGCTTCGCCTCACCCGGTCCAGCCTCAATAGATATAAATTTAGTTGGCTAGCTGTAATAAACACAGTCCCTTGTAATCCACTTTTGAATATTTATATTGCTGGGTTGATAGATGGGAAATTATAACTAGTTTGGGGATATTCGTTGAACTGAATAAAAAGTGTCTCATCACTAACCCACACCCACATGTTTATTACATAAGCAGAGGGATTATTAAGCATAAAGGTACTTTTGTATGCTTCAAGTTTGGTCCATAAGCTATTAAATTGGAACTTATTTTGAGAAGGTAGGGTAGACACTGTAATAGAGTGTTATTAAATTTTAGCTGCACAGATGTTGTATAGCGCTCCACTAACTAATGCTTGAACAAAGGTCAGTTGAAATCTGTATACTTAAATGTGATGGAGTCCCTAGCTTGAGTACAGGGGAGAATAAAGAGGCAGGCTAGCTTAGAATCGCTTCATGGGAGGAAGAGGCCAGATTCCTGAAGGCTTTATCTGCCTGTTCACAAGAAAATGCAGTTAGTCAGCGAGATTCTTGTAACTAAGAGAACAACATTAAATTACTTTGACCTGCTCATGGAGTCATTCTGGTTGCTTGTGCCTGACATTAAGCTACCCCATAATCTAGGAACTGCTGCAAGCAACACCTATACCTACTTATAAAAAAGCTGTTATTTAGCCAGGTTTCTTGAAGCTGAAGTATTCAAACTCAGCAACATAATTCATGAAAGTCTGAAAGGGAAATATATGATTTTAAAACTATTTATATTCTAAAAATCAAATAGTAGATTATAAATCCTTTATAATAGATTAAATTGGGGTCTTCAATATATATATTAAGACACTTGGCTATATCTGAACTTTTTAAGGAAATTTTGGAGGAATTATTCTTGCTCAAAAATAAAAAGCCACATTGTTGAGATTAATAGTAAAACACAGTTTTTTTCAACTTATAGTTTTATTTTCTAAGAAAAGACATATTTCATAGAAAGGATATACCACTCCCAAAATAACTTTAAATAAATTATTCTGAAATTATTTAATTGATTTTCCACAGACAGATCATACCCAAGTAATTTTTCTCCTAAATATACACACATAGTGTTAAGACATAAAACTTCTCTCTCAGCATCATTTCTTAAAAATATTCTTATTCTTCTGGTTTACTCCCAAACATTTAGTCTCAATTACATATTCAGATAATCAGTCTTCCAGACATTCACAGCCATGTACCTCATTATTCCATCACACAAATATTGCATATTCCTAAACTCTCATTGGGAATTTCAGCCATCCACCTAAACTCCCTTTCCCAATTTTAGCCAAAAAGCCCCAATCTTTTGATCATTTTTTTTTCAATGTTCTGAGTCCATGGAGTACTGAGATCTATTCTTTGGCGGATGTTAGCTTTGATGCTTCCCAGTTTTTTTAAAAAAAAAAGTTTTAAAAGTTTTAAAGGTTTTAAATAAAAGGCACAGGCAACTTGAGAAGCATCAAGAGGTTTGGAATTGTAATAACATTTCTCTTTTAATATAAAAGGACTTATTTCTGAGTAAACCTGTAGGATTACATTCTGATGGTATTTCTATTGAATAATTCACACTGGACCATCTCTCACAAATTTGCATCAGGATGCAAAATCAATTGAAAGAATTGTAGAACTATGTTTTTAGTTTTAACCTGATAACATAAGCTCTCTTACTGCACTCGATAGATGCTGTAAGGAAGACATTTGAAACAGGAAAGTTTCAATATACCTAGTCTTTCTGTGATTCTAATGCTCTGACTGTAAAAGACCCCGAAGTATAAAGTTCCACATGAGATCTACACATGGACAGTTATCCATGTTAACATGAAAAAAATCAGGGCATGAAGAAATGTGCAACATTTTGGGTGATGCTAAAAGACAAATAAGTGAAGTTTTTGGAAAATAAAACATGGCAATGCAATTCTATGTATTTTTTTCTCAGAAGTAAAATCTCATTGAGTATTTGATCTCAGATGATAGCCAATAGCCAATGAAATAATAAAAACACATTCATAACATAGTTTTCATTTTGCACACAATGGTATGACAGGTATTAATTTCCAAAATGAGCTTCACATATCTTATGAAATTAAAACATTAGATTTGTTATTGTTTCCGTATTTTTAGTTACTATTTGCGTAATGTATTCTTTAACAATATCCCAGCCAATATGGACTGATGTTAAAATATGGAAGGGCAAAAGTTCAGGTTAGGATGAATTTTCTAATGTATTCTCATAGCAAAATGTTAGTTGTATTCCATGTTAATATATTTGAAATAGCTGTCAACTTTAGCAAAGTGTCCAACATTTTCACAAATAAGTGTCATTTCCTTTTTTACTCTCTGTCATCATTTCAATATGATTAAAGGCTGGATTGTCAGTTCCTTCATTGCATGGTGTACAATTCAAAACTTTTTTATCTTCCTGGAAAACAAGATATATGTTTAGAATAAATGTAATAAAGAACAGTATATGTAATAATAAATGTAACAGTTGAGTAAATAGATGCGATTTTGCTTAGCGACAAAATAATAATAATATTGATACCAGGCAAATTATCCTGGAGAGGAGGTTCCAGAGCTCCTGGTGGAGAAGAAAAATTCTTTTAGCTATCTGGGTGTCAAACCATATAGGGATTTAAGGATTAATAGCATGACACTGAATTGTACTCAAGAAGGGACCAATTATTAATGAAGTTTTTTGTAATTTCAAATCCTCCAATAACTTTGATGTTAATAACTTTGCAGTTATTTATTAGATTTTATCCTGCCTTTATTTTATTTTTTTAATAAATAACTCAAGGCAGTGAACATACCTAATGCTCCTGCCTTCTTCTATTTTCTCCACAACAACCTTATGAGGTGGGCCAGGCTGAAAAATAATGATTAGTCCAAAGTCATCCAGCTGGCTTTCATGCCTAAGGCAGGACTAGAACTCACAATTTCATGAATGCCAGGCCAGCACCTTAACCACTAGACCAAACTGGTGCTCCTTATATTACAAAACTGCTTATTTCCTCAATGGTAGTTAAGAAATTATCAGTATGCCACACCTTATGAATAAAGAGTTTGGTCTAGTAGTTAAGATTAGAAAGGCTAGAAAGTGGGAGACCATGATCCCTCATCCTGCCTTCATCATGAAAGACAGTTGGGTGACCTTGGGCTAATCAGTCTATCACAGCCCAATTCACCTCACGGTTGTTGCTGTGGGGATAATAGGAGAAAGGTATGTTGGATGTGTTTGCTTGCCTTGAGTTATTTGTAAAAATAATAAAGGCAGAATGCAAATAAATAAAAAATGAAATGAGGTGCTCATGAATTTATATTTAATCATAAACAAAATAGATTTTAAAATATTAATTTAATTAGTGTTTGGAGAATTGTGTTTTTTATTACTTAATAATCTCCTACATGGTCAGGTACAGTTTTGAGAATATTCCAGCATTCTTCTTAGATGCCCACGTCACAGTGGTGGCACAGGATATTTGCCTGTTTGGGTCTATACATTAGCTGCACTTACTACTGGAAAACAACATTTGATCTTGTCATTCATTGATAATTGCGGGATTAGATTTTTGCAATGTGTATTTATTATATGAAGTGGTCCTTGAAAACAAACTGTTATTTTAGCTAGTTAATATATCTGCTCATCTGCTGCCAAGTGTAAATAAGAGAAATACAACATCCTCATAGGCTTTCAATATCTGTATTGAAACCAAAGCCTAAACACTGATTTTATACCAACAAAAGGTCTAAATCCTAAATATATCAAGAATAGGCCCTGCTTCTTGATTATTACTGGTAGGTGGGTGGTAGTACGGGTTTCTGTGCTGTGGACTTTTAATTTTTTAAGCCGTCCAGAGTCACTATTTTGAGTTGGGCAGCCATATACGTTTGTTTAATAAATAAATACTGCCATTTTGAAACAGGGTCCTAATTCGGGTGTGATAAACTGAAAGCTAGGTTCTTATCAAAACAAATATAAGATCCTCCCCCTTTGGAATACCATCCTTTTGGAAGTTTAGAAGGGACAAGATTTCCAAAGGGAACTGAGAAGTCTTTCCTTGAATAAAGATATGTATAAACAATTCCCTCACTAATGTTTGCCTTCAAATAGGAATGCTAGATTTTTCGTATAGTTAATAAAAGATAGCCACCAAAGAAATGGTATTTAATAGTATAGTTGCAAATTATTTCAGCTTTTCAGAATCAATTTTATTGTAAATAATTCTTTATAAGTTAATTAATAATTTCATTTTTAAGACATAGGCCTAAAAAGGGCCGTTTCTGACTTTCAGTTGGTTAGACAATGTTTTAAAGAAGAGTGTTATTTATAAAAGAAAGCACTGAGCAAAAACCTCTATAGCCTAACTGATAGATCCAGGTTTTGATCATCTAACATTTTGACATTCACTGTAGATGCCCCAAGTGGAATAATTTCTGGGATGACTTTTTAGTGTTCATATATAGCAGAGGATGTAATAACATTTTCCACTTCCCATCCAGGTGGGAGTATTAAAATCTGGAAAATGGTGGGCATGATATCAACAATCAGAGCCCTGCCATTTTTGCACTTGCATGCAATGTCAATGCATGTACAAAAGAGGTAGAATTTAGACCATGATGCCATACCTTCCATTTTGCAGATTTTGACCTTCCTCTGTGGACATCACTACCAGTAGCAGAATTTGATAAAGGACTCTTCTGTTATATTCTTAGTGCCTTCAGCTCTATAACAAAAGCTAGTTAAGAATTAGGTACTTTTAAGATCTAGAACGTCTTAAATACTCATTTTCTTCTTTTATGTAATAATATTTCATAGCCAGAAACTATAATAATGATCAAATTTACCTTCACACAGGTTATAGACTTATATAAATGTTACTATTTATATCCTAGGTTCAATACAAATTTAAACAACTTTATTAATCTACTGCTTCTTGGAACTATAAATTTATGTAGAAAGGCAAAAGCGGGGCGACTATTTAAAGCTACAGAATTTATCTAATTTTTTAAATACTGTTTCATAAATTCTGAATTATACAGCATCTGAAATGTCTTCATAAAGACATGAAATTGTCTCTATGATGAGATTAAAGTACATAGTTGGCTGTTCAAAAAAAATTGTAGCAAATCTCATCTATAATATACATCCCTATCATTCTGACAGTGGCCAATTATTTATTCAGATAACAGCCAAGAGTAATAATATTAAGGGCAAAAAGAACTGGTAACTTCAAAACTACATCTAAGAAACAAGTCATAATAATTCTGACCTCTGCAATGGATTGTACTTGGACCTATCTTTGAAGATAATATGGAAACTTAATGTAATCAACTAGAATTATTACTTGACTAATTAGGGGACAAATCTATCCAATTATGTGACTGGAATGTATTCACAATGTGTGAACTGTTTCTGTGCTCAGTTCAAAGCACTGGTTTGTTCAAAGCACTTCAAACACTAAATGGATTGAAGTTGCAGTATCTGTTAAATGCTTTTTCTTATATAGTGTGTTTGGACCTCTCTGTCATTTTTGGATTCTTTGTTTCTTTGCAATCCTTATCAGTCTGGAATAAAATAAAATAATATATACATACTTGTTTCGATTTACCACCTGAGAAATTACAAAAAAGATCCTCTTTGCTGAGTAAGAATTTTTTGTCCACATTCTGCTTAAGTCCTCCTGAAAAACATTTATGTGGTCAGTTAAAATATATTAACACACATATAGTATAGTTAAATTATTATTTGTGCAAAACAGTAACAATAGTATTAACATGAAATGGCATAGTGTAATCACTTTTAAATTTTTCTAACTTGTTTTTACTTCTGTTTTTAATGTTGGTTTTGCTTATGTCTTTCTTATGTGGCTGTATGACTTTATTTGTAAACTGCCCAGAATCACTTTATAAAGATGAGCAGTATGTAAATTTAATAAATGAATAAACAAACAATGTCCTTGTTTCTTTCTGTTTCTTGAATTGTATGCTCAGGCCAATGAAACCATTTTTCATGCATCTAAAATAAACTTGAAATTTATCAACCTGATTTGAATTTGCAACAGCTAGGTAAGGTTGTCTGCAAAGTCAAATCCAACTGATAAATTCAGAAAGCTAAATAAATTATAGTTTAAAATAAAATGAAGATTTGTCATGTACCAAATTATTTGTTTAACTGTATATTAGGCTGGACACACTTTAAAAAAATTTAGAAGTGCTCATGTGAACTTGTATAAGTACTTCTTATGTAAGTTCAGCATCTTTGTGTTATTTATTAAAGCAGCCCGAGTTCCAGGCTTTTAGACAAGATTGAAAAAGAAATTGTTATGCAATAAGAAATCCAATTATTCTAAATCAATGTATATTATTTTAACAAATAAGATACTTTATTTGCCCCATCTCTGAAATATGGACAGACTTTTATTACAGAAGAAGGGAAAATGTAAATTAAACTTTCAAAATTTAAAAGATTAATAGTATATTTTATTTTTTGGATTCTAAAAATCCAGATATTGATGCAATTTCAAAGGAGAAACCTAATCCTAACATTTTGATATTATAAATTCAGATATAATTTTTATACAGAGCAGCGTTTGAATTCTGTTCTTCTGGAAATAAATATATACTTGAATAAAAGCAAAAATAGAGGAATCATTAATTACCTGTCAAAAGGCTAATGACTATTCCCACAGCAACTGTAAACAGAGTTCCAATTGGGCTTAAATACAGATAGGATAAAGAATACCAATAATCTGCAAGGACTGGTCTAGAGGGGCAAAATAGAATTTACTAATGTATTTCCACAATTTATATGAAATCTTACAATGACAATGTTATATTAAATATAATTATTTAAAACAGTTTAGCAAAGCAGCAATGCAGTCATAATAAGAGGCTTTTGCTGTCTTCATAGAAAGAAAACAGTCTTGTGCCTGCAACAGCGTTTTGCATGCACAAAGCAGGCAGAGCTTTCGTTGCAACAGCACAGGTTGCTTTTGTTATTCCTGACTCTGGCCACCCTTGTGCACACTGTTGATTACAGTCACAAAGACTTACTTAAAAGTGAATCTAGACTTTCAAGCTAAGGGAAAATTAAAGGAAAGCAGGTGTTTTTCTTCTCTGTAATCTGAAGAACATACAAAGAATAAAAGCGGTCACAATAAAAACATAATCCCAAACCAGTTCTAATTATATCTACCATTATCAAAGGTTTGTCTTTAGGTCTTTAGAACATGATGTTTCTCTGCAAGAGACACATTATGATGGCCTGATTTAGCTAACATTAAATTATCACTAGTTTATTTGATTTTAGCTGTGAGCAATATATTAATTCAGTCACGGCAATTTGGCAATCATAGTTACTAGCAGATATGTAACAAAAGCAATTGTGGCTTCATTAGGGAATCATGATTAAAAATATAATGGCTTAACAGAATGTGTGAATCCATCCCAAAGGATATATCAATTGTTCAGTAATACCTAAGATTATCGGACTTTGCCATTTTCCTTTTGAATTTAAATATATCTTTCTACAAAAAATGTACATTATATGTATAAAAGCACCAGCAGAAGCAAATTAACAGCACTAGACAAATCAATAGTAATGGAAATGAACAATTATCATTTTCTCTGCATGTGATCTGCAAAGTGTTAATGTATCCTGCAAACGTGAACAGAAAAATGTGTACTTGACTGGGTTTCAAATCCTACTATGCAAAAAACAATAACATTAGTTAGCAATAAAAGACTTACTGTGTTTGGCATAATTAAATGTGACATATTAAGTGGATGTTAATAAATTTGGCATATACCTCTCACTATTTTCAGTTGTAACAGTTGGCAGTTCTGTGCTTAGGCTGCTTATGTTACAGCCTGTAATTAAAAGAGGTAACGGCAGGGTCCTAGTATCCAGCGGCTTATAAATCTGAGCTCCAATTCCAACCCAAAGGGTAAGAACAAATCCACAGATGAGACCTATAAATGCACCCTGTAAAACAGGAAATAGAATCTGACCACATTTAAAAGAAAAGAAATAAATCCCACTATAATTTCTAAACATTGTACTTTTAGAAACTAGTCAGATGTTACATTAGTTATTTAGAATTGTGCATACTACTTTCCTAACAGCATGGGACTTTTTAATATAATTTCGAGCTCCAGAAAGAGAAGGATCTCCAAGTCATCCTGTTGATATTATTTCTGAGACAAAGATTATATCCCTATAGTATACCAAAATTTAAAAAAGCTAATGTTCACAAAAATGTTTACAATTCATTGTGGTTTGAATTGATGCATTTAATAGTTTCAAATCTCTTTAACTAATTTGTTTTTTCAGGGAGACTGAAGAATGTCTTGAATCAGAAGATGGGGTAGCAATTAAATAGTACTGTAAATAGAAGATTTTCTTACCATGGCATTGACAAAGGGAAAAAGAATGCCCAAGGAAAAGAGGCCCAGGAGAGGCCCACCAACCATGCCAAAAATGGTCAATGCTGCCTAAGAAAAACATTAAGTTATACTTTTGAAGGAATAAAATCTACAAACGGTGCTAAATAGCTTCATTTTCATTAAACATTTTAAAATGAAAAGACAACATTTATTTACAATACACTTATCCAGCTTTTCTACTGGGAAAAAAATCAGAACCACAATAGTGGTTATTTATTAGAACAACATTTCCTAAATGATGTCTTGCAGATATGTTGGCTTTAACAAATGTACTATAGGTAGGCATTTAGGAAACTGTGATCCTTTCCAGCACATGTGAAGGGCATCAGGTAGGCAATAGTACATTAACTTACAGATAAGAAACACTATATATTAAGATACTGCACAATTAGTAATAGAAAAGTATGAGAGGGTATAGTTAATCCTTTCCCTGCAAACCATTTCCCCACTTCAAATTGCCCATGACGAATTGGCTGAGTTCTGTTTTTTCAAACTAGAGACAAATATCATTGAAAGGAACATGACTTGGAAAGCAGAAATGGCCTATGTGGAAACTATTCCCTTCCTTTATATCTTCTCTGCCATCATTTGCCCCCCTTAAAATAGCTTTTAAAATAATATATGGACATAAACACAGACAGCCACAAACAAAGGAAAAGGAAAGAAGAAAGGAAAACAAACCATTTTATGCTGACTTTTATTTATTTTTTTCTGACTTTTATTTGTAAATGTCTTATTGACACATCACATGTTTGTACTGCACTCTTAAACTGCACCTGTGCTATGCTCATACTGAATCAATTCACTGCAGGATGAAGGCCATTGAAGGTTATAGACTGCACTGGCTTACACTATTGAGGTTTACTCAGTGCTAATACTACAATCAAAGTAAGTCCAAAGTATAAAAAAAAAAGAATCCATTGAAAGGAATAAGGGTTGCTTTGTTTTCCAGAGAGATTTCTTGACAAAGAAATTATTACGTATACCTGTAACAATCCTCCTAGAACTGATGCCAAGGCAGCCATAGCAATGCACACCGCACCATAAAATAAACCTATGTGGATGATGCACACAAAGAGATCAAATAAGTTTTTATTTATTTAACAGCATTAGACAAAAGTCAGATTGTTCTTTGATGATGATGATGATGATGATGATAATAATATCAAATCCAGATTATGCAACCAATCATAATAATAGGCTTTTTTCACTGAACAGATTGTAATAATTGAAATAATAGCTCATATATTTAAAAAATAGTAATTGTAATTTTTTATAATAAATTATTTTAAAAACAAATTAAAAATTTCCTTAAGATAATTTAAATTTAAAATAAATATTAATATATACTTACTCATCCCCATAGAAATCCAAGACAATTTAACTTCAGTTAACGTGAAATAAGGTTTAATGAGGTCCTCTACAGTCACAGCAGCTAAAGCATTGATGCTAGAGGACACTGTACTAAGGCAGGTAAAATAGAGTCCATGTAATTTCATATCAATTTAAAGGTGTATTTCATTTGCTATCAAACAGTTACTATAGTGGTTATTATTTCTGCTGTTAAAGTTAAGCAGCTGAATAACAATAATTGAAAGACATTATTAGTTTTATCTATTACTTAGGAAAAAAGCCCATAATTTAAACACTCTCCATTCTGTTCAAAGAAGTTACTAATGAAATCTTAAAGAAACAAGTCTATATAATAAAGAAATTACTGACCTCTTATAACATGTTATAATAAGTCATAGTTAATATATACCACAATGGATTCATGCTAAAAAAAAATCCAAGCAAATTTTGGTTTAGCATAACGTATCATGGTAGCAATCCAGTGACTTCCATTTCTCTGTAAAATTTTCCTAAGTTCACTTTTCTTTTTATTTACTAATATTATTGTTACTTTGTTGTTAGTTAAAAAAAATTAGGTCTCCTTAAAGAGCAACAGTATTCCCATAAAATACAATTACACATTTAAATTAACATACTAATAAAATATGTGCTCTCAGCTCACATTTAGATTAATATCTGCGTCACCTAAAATAACTACATAAACAGTGAAGCTGTGCTATATAATCCTATACTTGGTAGTGGGATGAATGGTCGTATAGATTGTTTTAAAGGTAAAATAAATACATCTGTTTAGTTGGAAATCCCACTAAAATGCAACCATAAATATTTGTTGAGAAGTAAGTCTCCTTGAGTTCAGTGGGCATACCATTGCACTTGTTATAAGGTTGCTATTGACTCCGTTGACACTTCCCCCACTTCTCTGTCTATTGAATTTTGAATTAACTTACCTTAAGGTTCCACTATAAGCACAAGCAACAAAAAGACCTGTCATTCCTGGAAACTCTTGTAGAATTTCCAACACCAGATAAGGCATGAGCTGAAAAATGCAAATAGCACATATATTTTATATATTTTTTTTGCATACATTTTTCTTCCTACTTTACAATACCTAAACATGTGATAAAAATATGTGTAAAATAGTCTTTAAAATTGCTTTTTTTCAAGGAAGGTAAATTCACAGTTCAAAATTGGCATAAAAATACACCATTAATTTAATTCCTCCGTTATGCATGGCATACTTTGGGAGACATTATTCCAAAATTTAATGTCATTCATTTCTTAACTGTTTCTTTCAAAAGGGGTTTCTTATGATTTCTTCTAGTAACTCCCTATAATCAAATCATATCCCAATAGAAAACTGAAAATCATAGCCCTAATGTTTATTTAGCATTAATTAAGAATGTTTTAATACTAAACCTGGTCTGATGCCATCACACATTTTGCTGTCCATGGGTCACAATCCTTAAAAACAGAGTACATTATTAATCCACATAATACTGCACATGCAAGAATTATCCAGAGTCCCACGAGATTTAAATAAAGAGATCTGTAAGGAAACAAACAAGAGGGTTTTTTTTTACTTTGTGTAGAAATATTATTATTTTGTAGCATTATATGTACACATTGCATTGTGTTATACCTGCATTTATTTCCTCTTTGGCAGGCAAAGAAAAAGTCTTTGTTAGATAGGAATGTACTGGTTTCTTTGGCTAAAAAAGTTATGCAAATGTTCCAGCAAATGTAAATAGCTATGTACATTTAAAAATCATTAACTGACTTACCAGGATTTCAGGAAGTTTTCCCCACATGAATTAAAACAATTCTTCTTGGTGTTTAATTATTTTTATAAACATTGTAGTATTCTTATTATTGTAAACATAGCCCAAGTGTAAGATGTCAGAAAAATATGGAGAAAAATAAATGAATAATATGCATCATATTGGACAGTATGAGGTATTATTTTGGTCTGTCTTTAGGCCACTTTGAACATTTAAGATACAATTGTTAAGAAGTAGAGAACTAATTTCCAAACAGCATGCAAATGCTGCTCTTTTTTAATTGTTATCATCCCATCAGCAGACATCTTGAACAGCAAGATTAGCTCTTTGCTTAAAAGACAGATAGGATAGTGAATTTTCAATATCTATGTCAATAGTAATTATGCCTTTCAAAAGGACTTTATACATACATAAATGGGTAATAAATCAGAAAGAGTTTACAAAATCAAAGTTTGATATCGGTTTGAGATTTTAATAATATTGGTAATAAATAATTTGATAATTGATTGTTACAATTGTGGCTTATGCCCTTCAATGGAATGTCCTAAGTAATGCTAAATTCATTGTTACTAAAAGGTTTGCATTTAAAAAAGTCTGTAATACATACTATATTATAAGAATGCAGGTTGTATCATTATTGGACATTGATGTTGAGAATACAATTTAAATGAAAATCCTTGAGCAAACAAACAGAACATGTTAACTTACAATTTTGCTTGAAATCTGGTTTTGCAGGAAAGATATCGCTGAACTTGAGACTGATTGACTGCATATATTCCAAGCCAGGTAAAAGTCCCACCTACAACAATTGTCCAGAATGTATGCCTTTGCAAAGGATTAGGACTGAAGCTACATCGAATAAAAATGTATTTTATAGTATTAGCTAACTGATCATATCTCTGTTAAAAACTAGTTTATGTTTTCTTTCAATGAATATTTCACAAGCTTAATTTGAAAACATATTAAGAAATTTTAAATATTAAGCAGTAGTACTGAAAGCACAGAACACATTTTTAAAACTTATTACATACATGTAATCCTCCAGATACAATAGATCAATTAGCAAATGTTCAAAGTTACAACAGACACCCACAAACCACATATGACCCTGTTTTAAAGTTATGACGGCTGCAGTGCCCCCATGGTCATTCACCTTATGACTGACCATGGGAGTGCTGGAGCACTTCCCCACCTCTCTCCCTTCCCAGCCCCATCCTGCCCTGACATGACCCTGCAGCACTTTGGCCTGCTCCCCATGCCTCCTGGAAGCAGTTACATTTTCAGAGCTCAGACAATTCCTTGTAGGAAATGGCAACTGCCTTTGGAGCTTTCTGCCCTGATCAGCTGGCCATTGGGAGACTGCAAACTTCTCCAGGCACTTGCTAGCCTTTGGGTAACCAGACTCTGCATGCTAAGGTAGCAGCTTTAGGCCGAGCTTCCCAAAACCTTTCCCTTACTTTAATCCCCTCTCTGCTCCAGAAAGGGGGTTCCTCTCCTCTCATTTTTTCAATAAATAAAACAAAAAAGCTGGGAGGGACAGTCTTGTTGATCTTTTTCCCCACTACCCAGGTGATAAAACTAAACTCCTACCTCTGCCTTCCAATTTCTATACCTTTAAAAAAATCTTACCTTAACTCCAGGCTGAAGAGTAGAGGAAAGGAAGAAAGCAAGCAAAGAAACTCTTTCTGCAGCTTTCTACTTTGAGGAGCAGTAGAAAAAATATTCATCTTAGAAAGTTTAGCCATGTGTATTAAAATGGAACAGAAGTGGGATCCTTACAAAGCTTTTAGCTGTTTGTCTGATTGCTTGTAGGACCCAGCAAGACTCTAAGACAAGTTTCTTTGCTTGCTTCCTTCCTTTCCTCTACTCTTCAGGGTCTCATTTCTGAAGGCTAGAAAAAGCCAGTTGAAGTTTGCAGTCTCCTGACGACCAGCTAATCAGTAGACAGCTGGTGGGGTAAAAAGCTCTGAAAGGTTAGGGAACCGGTCAGTGATGGAATTCAAATATGTGAACAACCAGTTCTCTGTGTGGATGCCACTTCCTGAAGTCCATTCTGAGCCTGGGCAACAAAAAATTAGCTACCAGTTCTGCCGAAGTGGTGTGAACCAGCTGAATCCCACCACTGGAACCAGTCCTATTTTTGCCCCAGAAAGGCAGGGGAATCTTGTCAGGAGGAAGGGCAGTAGCAGAACCAGGATAGGTAGGCATGTCCACCATTTTCCTTCTCCGTTGTTTTTCATTGGTAAGACAGTCAATTGTGCAGCGAGACACTTGTGGGAGCCTCCCAAGGGGCAGAAGCAGAGCATGGGATATCTCAGGGGGTGGGAGAGGCCTTGGGAATCCCAAGGCAGGTGGGCTTGTACCTGCACTAGGCCTCCCAGGATCTGTCTCACCCCTGAGGCACTCTGTGCTCCACTTAATGACCCACACATTTGATTAATGAATACCTTGGGTAGAGCAGAGATGGTTGATCGTTATTTGAGGCAGATCGTTTAATATTTATTCCAGCCTCCAACCCTAATGGCAAGCTCCATTATGGATGTAACCTGAGACTACCTGTACATCATTAATAATTTTGTCATTGAAGATGCAAAGATTTCTTACGAATAAATTCTAAAATTGTATCAAAAACTGTTTTAAACTCACACAAAATAGGACATCCAATCTGTTATTTTTTTCCATTTATTGTGGCCTATTGTAGTCTTCTTTACCTCTACTATTTACCTCTACAGTACTAGTTTGGATCCTTCCAACAACAAACAAAAATGTAGATACATCCTACAGTAGGTAGGTAAGCTTTTTACCTTATAAAAGCCTTTTTAAACCTTTACCTTTTAAATCTATCTATCTATCTATCTATCTATCTATCTATCTATCTATCTATCTATCTATCCATCTTATTTGACTTATAGTCCACCTTCCCCTCAAGGCAATTTACTTGGATATCTCTTTTTATTTCATCTCCCACATTACAACTTTATGAAAAAGTATGAGCAAAGTATAACTCAATGTCACTCAGTGATTTTTCATGAGTGAGGTCTTTCTGATCCTAATCCAATAACTTAAGCATTCTGATCAGTAACAGCCTTATTCTATACCTACTACTGGAAAATATAATTTATTTGCTATAAATGATTCAACTTAACTACATAACAAATAATATATATCTGAAAGTTTCTTCTCCAGCTCAAATAAATTAAATACTTACTCCCAGAAATTTAATCTTCCTCCATGATAGGTGTCATATATTACATTTCCAAAACCACCTTGTACTATCACACCACGTATAATCACAGATAAGAATCCAGCTATCATGATTGCTGCTTGAAAAACATCTGTCCAAATCACTGCTTTTAGTCCACCCTGAATGGAAAACAAAAGACATAGATTAAAATACAAGGCAAGTAATACAGTATTAAAAGAAATATAATAGGTTCATATTTGTAACAATTGTAGTGTCCTGGGTTCATGCGATCACCTTTTGCAAACTTCTGACAAGCAAAGTCATTGGGAAAGCCAGATTCACTTAACAACTGGGTTACTAACTTAACAACTGCACTGATTCACTTAACAATTGTGGCCCAAAAGGTCATAAAATGGAGCAAAGTTCACTTAATAAATGTCTCATTTAGCAACAGAAATGTTGGGCTCAGTTGTGGTCATAGGTTGAAGACTACCTGTATTTAAAATAATAATAATAGAAGTAAATATAATGAATTTGTTCAATTAAGTGTTTAAGCTTTGCAGTTATAGCAATTTTCAAAATAATTGCAGACTTACCAGTGTGCAATAGAAAGTACATACTATTCCTGTTCCAACAACTGCACCCCATAAATGAATTCCTGTAACTAGGGAAGAAAAAGTATAAAATATTTTTTAAAAATTAAAATAGCAGAAAATGGTTAATCCAAAGCATATTGAACATAATTTTAAAAATTAACTGATATGGGATTCCAATATGTTTTTGAATAGACAACTCTTGTGGGATAATGCAGATAGTCTAAATCTACAAAAATAAAAATAAAACTGAATTGAAGAGTGAGTCTAATCAATTTTTATTGCAGGATTGATTAAATATATATATACATATTTATTATATATGTATTATTGAGGTCTATTATAAAAATAACGTAGAATATAACTATTTAGTTTTTTGTGAAAAAATAAGAATGAAAATCATTATGAGAAATTTGCATTGTATTGCAAATATAACATACAAGATTAATTGTGAATTGATCACATTTTTTAAAGAATTAATTGTACAAACAATTCTCAACTTACAATCATTTGTTTAGTGGAGCATTCGAGGTTACAATGGCACTGAAAAAATGATTTATGACCATTTTTTATGCAACTTTTGTAGCATCCCCATAATCATGTGTTCAAAATTCAGACGCTTAGAAACAGGTTCATGTTTATGACATTACAGTGTCCCAGGGTCATGTGATCACCATTAGTGGCTTTCTGACAAGTAAAGTCAATGAGGAAGCCAGATTCATTTTATAACTGTGTTATTAAATTAACTACTGCAGCAATTCAGTTAACAACTGTGGCAAGAAAGGTCCTAAAATGGGGCAAAACTCACTTAATAACTGCCTTGCTGAACAACAGAAATTTTGGTTTCAATTGTCAAGGATTACCTGTAATACTTTTAGAATCCATGTGAATCTTTATTTAATATTTAGAATTGATTAACCTAGGCTATTTACAGCTGTTATTGCAACTTGAGTTATATAAACATGTTCAGAATCAGCAGATAGTTGAAAAATTTCAAAATTGTTCTGCATTAATTTATTTGTTATTATATATATATATATATATATATATATATATATATATATATATATATATATATATTAATGTTACCTTGATATAAAGCTAAGGCTGGAGCATAAATGACAATTCCAGTGTAAAGTATCTAAAAAATAAACACACAACACAAACTGTTCATCTTGGCATTCCAAGAACTATTTGGAAACAGTACAGTATAGAATTGCATGGCGAATTAAATCCAAACAATATATGACAAATGTGCTGATAATAGTGTTAAGTTTCAATAGCATTTACACAAAATACAATAAAAGAATAATAGTTTTAATTTTTAGAATAAATAAGAAGCTATCATAATCATGATAAAATGCAGAACATTGTTGTTTGGAATATTACTGCAGGCAAAGTAACAGTAATTATTTGCAAGCCACTCAGAGTCATTTATACAATAAGATGGGTGGCCTATAAATTTTGACTTAAATAAACAAACTGGTTCTTCTAAGAATATTGTTGAGTTCCTGAACAACTAAAGATTTCAAAAATGGTCAAGGTTCATTCATAGTCAGAAATTGAGATCCAAAGATCTCAAGTTGATTAACATTTGTTTTTCTTTTCATAATCATAATTTGAGAAGTAAACTATGTTATGTGATAGTTAACTCCTGACATTGACAAAAAATCTACTGTAGCTCATCTCATATTGTTCAGGAAACATCTCCAGTATGCCAGAGAATTTTTAGGATAATGATAATGTTAATGGAGTAAAAGATGACTGAAGAAACCCTTAAATTATTTTAGATTTAAATGCAAGGTATATTCCAAATAAAGAGCTAAATGGCAAATATAACTCTTTACAGGATATAAAGAAGTTTTGAACATTTTTATGTTCAAAAGGTTTAGTTCAAAACTTTTTAGCATATTTATTTACATATCTATTATAACTTAAATAAGCCATCAAACTCTTTTTGTCAAGGGGGTGAAGATTTTCCCTTACTTCGTACTTCAGTTTAGTTCATATAAAATAATATAGTTCATAACTTCATATCTGTTTTTAAAAATCAACTTTATTTTACAACTATTATTTACACTACATTAAATGTCTTAGTTATGTAATCTACTGCAGAGCTATTAAATATTAAAATTTAGCAATAGCAATAACACTTAGATTTATATACACCCCCATAGTGCTTTACAGCACTCTTTGGGCTGTTATAATATGAGCATATTGCCCCCAACAATCTGGGTCCTCATTTTACTGACCTTGGAAAGATAGAAGGCTGAATCAATTTATTTAGAAATGTCATACATTAAAAGAAATGTATAAAATTAATTTTCTTACCGTCAATATAATAAAGAGCCCTGTTCCACACAGGCGCAGCTGTTTATTAAACCGCATTTCTAGGTACTGTAATAAACAAATACTTTGTAACATTTGTGTAATTTTGATGGAAGAATTAACATTTTACTGAAAAATTATTACTTTAGAGGAGTTGTCTAACTCTTCAATCATGCTTTGTTCTTCCAACCTTTGTCATTCTATACTGTTTATATAAATCTACATTCCTCATCAAGCTTTATTCTATACACAATTGTTTTGTTGCATCCAATACAAGGTTTCATGATGATTATTAGCCAATAAGACGTTTACTGAGTCACACATAATTTCATTTTGTAAAGTGAAACAATCACTTCAGACAGCATAATCTAGGCTAGGGGGCTACAGTATATGACAAGGAAGCAAAGTCATTTGCCAGAAGCTATTCCGTGCTCTCTAAATCAATGTTAGCAACTTTTAAAATATATGATGAATGCATGCTGGTTGGGGAATTCTGGGAACTGACGTCCACATATCAAGTTGCTTGAGAAACTACTCTAAATTATTTTCATGCCTGCTGGGATCACAAGGTAGTAGAAGATTCAGCTGCAGAGTCCAGTTCTATGAGGACAAGCTGCAGAGCATTTTCAACTCCTTCTAACCTCCATCTCCTAGTTCAGTGTTTCTCAACCTTGACAATTTTAAGGCATGTGGACTTCAACTCCCAGAATTCCACAGCCAGCGTTGCTGGCTGTGGAATTCTGGGAGTTGAAGTCCACATGCCTTAAAATTGTCAAGGTTGAGAAACACTGTCCTAGTTGAAGAGTTCAGAAAGCGAGTGGTGGAATGTAGAAAACAATACGACAGTAATTGCTTATGTACAATTACTAGTATGTAGATAAAACAATAGTCAGCAGCCAAGGAGAAACGGGCGAGTGCCTCTCCAGAAAGCAAGTATGAGCGGAGCCCGGTAAGGCTAGCTGGCCCCTCCTTCCCTACCTCGTAGGTGCTGGTGATTTTCAGGCGGTAGAAGACGGGCAGGAAGATCTCAGCGCTTATAACCACCATCACTGCGTAGGAGATGGCGAAGAGGCTAAACATGACTCCGAAGCGGTAGATTTCGGCGGGGGTACCTAGTACCGTCACCGCCGACATGAAGCTGGCCGTCAAGGAGAGCGCCACGGGTAAAGCTGTCATGCTGCGGCCCCCCATCAAGAAGGCTTCGCGGCTCCTCTGGCCACCGCCCGCGAAGGCGTAGTACACCCCGATGGCCGCGGAGATTAACAGCATGACTCCGAAGACCACATAGTCCCAGACGGCGAACCCCCCGACTTTTCTGCAGGTGACCATGGATGAGCTCCGTGCGCCTCCGCCGAGCGGGCGAAGAGTCCGGGGGGCGCTCTTGGACCGCCTGCCTCGCTTCCTCGCTCAGCGCGCGCCTTTGACTTGTCCGGTTGCACGAGCGTCTCCCAAGCCCGGCAAAACTCGGCGCGCTCTGCTAAGGAGGCGGTCGCTTCGCCGGCAACCTTCGCTTCGCACAACTCCAGAAACTGCTACTGTTCTCCTTGAGGACGGAGGCGCTGCCTTCTGGCCGGGTTTCCCTGGCTGACGCTTGGCCGTTCGCCTCCTTGTCCCGTGCCCCGCGCCCAACAATAAGCTATCCCGGTGTTGATTCCTGTCGCCTTTCCCGGCCGCCGTCTTTGACGGGGTTGGAAACCAAACCTACTAAGCGAGCTCCTCTCTAGTGCCTTGTGGAGGCACTTAATGGATAGGCTCCTTTTTATCCTCGGGTTCAGTATTGGAGCAGTGTCATCATTCCGAGCATCGAAAGGGGAGGGAAAGAGAGAACAGCCCTAACCGGTCCAGACCAGGAAGATTTTCTCAGCTGTGGAGTTCAAGTGGTGGCCGGAGGGCGTGGAGTAGCATAGTAATCCCCGCTACCACCCAGCTGCTATCTCTTATTATTCAAGGTGCTGGATTCTTTCATCCAGACAATGCGTTGTAATGTGATGTCCTGAGAACCAGCGCCCAGTTTAAGTATACTGCCAGGAATCCATAGCCTCCATTAATTTATTCATTAATTTATTCTGACTAATACCATCTTTCGTCTCAGAAAGTGTTCATTTGTGTGTGTTTGCTATTTAATCTCTGCTGGTAAATTGATTCTTCCATTTCCTCCACGTATACCAAGGCAGGAATGAATCCATCCTTCCCCCAGTTTCTCTAGAAGCAGGTAGAATATTTGTGAGTGATTCTTCCTATTACCCCCACCCAAGCTAATACCTGCATGGCAAAGTTGATACATTTTTAATATGATTTGGTTGGCAACATAGGAGCTGGTGAGGTTATAAACTATGTTAAACAGCCCATACATCATGTAAATTCAATCAATAATGGTTTAGTTAATAAACAATTCTGAACAATGTTATTTTAGAATGATATATGAACTCAGCTTCAAAGTAGACTTAAGCTTACTATAGAGTTGCCTGCAACTGTGTGTAAGGCAGTGGTTCTCAATTATTTTCTGTCATGCCCCCCCTAGGAAGAAGAAAACATTTCGCACCCCCCCCCCGCGTGACTGTCTATCCAATCGGGTCCTTTGCGTGTGTCACGTGCGTCCAATATGACAGTATTTGCCGAGGTCAAACGAGCCCCCCTTTACGGAGCCTCGCACCCCCCCTGGGGGGCCCGCCCCACTATTTGAGAACCACTGGTGTAAGGCTTGTTTGGTAAGGCATAGGCTGCAGATGGCTGCAGACTTCAACACACACACACCACCCAAATCCCAACTGTGGAGGTGCCCATCCTATGTGCTGATTGGTTGTTCCAACTTCCTTTTCTGTACTTTGCTAGCCATTACATTTGCAGAAATATAAATATGCAACCATCCCAGAATGAGAGATACATACATTCCCAGATGTGCAGTGCCAGAGAAATCTGCTCAGTTCTTCACTAAAATAAATTATAAACTCGAATATTATGATATCTGATAGATGTAAACATGGTCTGCTAATTAGTAAAATTAATCTCCATTAAAGCCAAACTGTTTTGCTTAGATCTATGGGACAGAGCAATAATAAACCTATAGACAATGATGTCTTGTGAAAATTAGTTCTCACATAGTTGAAAGAAAACCGAGGTGGCGCAGCAGTTAGAGCCGAGGTGGCGCAGCAGTTAGAGTGCAGTACTGCAGGCCACTTTAGCTGACTCTGTTCAGCAGGTCAGCGGTTCAAATCTCACTGGCTCAAGGTTGACTCAGCCTTCCATCCTTCTGGGGTAGGTAAAATGAGGACCCAGATTGTTGGGGGCAATGTAAATATATATATACATTGCTTACTGTTGTACACCGCTTAGAGAGTGCTTGCACTTAAAGCGGTATATAAGTCTCATAAATAAATAAATAAAACCATATTAGAACAGGCTGTTACTAGAACAAGAACAAATAATAACTGTATCTCCTGCACACAAAATAATTACTTCTGGCTCTTTACATGATGTGGTCAGAAAAAAAGGAGGCATAGAAATTTGAGCACTGATTGTATAAATAAACCTTGTATCTGATACAAAGCTGTACAAGTCACTGAAATTCTGTCGTTATAACTTTACTGCCATAAAAATTGAATTATCACAAGTTTCTGGATTCTTGATTGCTTAATTATTTCCTAAACATCCTGTTAGGACAAACCTTGTATATATACTCATACAATGTGTATATTACTGTTATTATAGTTACCCAATAACTATTATAGCCTTCTGTGTTATATATATTTCTTTGTTTTTAATGAGTTGGTTTTTAAAATGTATTCAGTAATATATGTAGAAAATTAGAAAGTCCTTATTAATGTCAATAGAATTATAATTAGTGTTCAGTTCTGGGAAGCAAAGAGCTGAAATGTCACATCCAGTTCTGTTCAAATGCTGCTTAAACCTTAATAGTAAAAGATCAGTTACACCTATCTGAACTTTATCCTTTTGGCTTTCAAACTGTTCCCTTGTTTGCTTAAGGTTTTTAATTTTACAAAAACAGATTTATGATTTAACCAGATTGCTAACTATAAGTTAATTTAAGTGAAAGAACTGGGAAAGGTGACTGAGAAAGGTGACAAGGAAGATAATTATAGAGATCAGTTCTCTTAATTCCTTCTGTGTGGGTTTTCACGCGCCCAGCGGGTCTCCCATGAGTGTAGAAGAACAGACACGAACACGTGGTTTCCTCGGGATGGGAGCCCCGAACAAAGCCGAAGCATCCCTTTTATTGTGTTACCAGAAGGCGGGTTTATATGCACCTGGTGACCACCTTACACCAATCACATTTGTTATAACAGCATATTAGCATATTGCACGTGCTGCGGGTCTCCCATGAGTGTAGAAGAACAGACACGAACACGTGGTTTCCTCGGGATGGGAGCCCCGAACAAAGCCGAAGCATCCCTTTTATTGTGTTACCAGAAGGCGGGTTTATATGCACCTTGTGACCACCTTACACCAATCACATTTGTTATAACACAGCATATTAGCATATTGCACGTGCTACAGCTTTGTTTTGCTCACACCCTATACAGCTGTTACACCCGGCACCAACAACGCACCAAACACCTTCCTTTGCACCGTACGGCACTTCTTGGTATTCTCCCGAACTTTTTGACTTCCGACTTCCTTATACCTTGGTCTACTGCAGCTGATGACTCAGCCTAGCAGGCCACATAATCCAATAACTCCAACACCTCTGTTTTAATCTGAGGTTGATAATTGTCCTCAGTTGCCAGCTCTTGATGTCAAATTAGTTCTCGCTTTCTCCTTAAATTATTGCTCTTCTGTGATTACAATTAACACAATTATGGTCACTCCCAGTATTGTCTTTGTTTAACTTTTCCCTATAACTGAGATTATTCTATAAAAGCTGAAATTAGAGTCCAAGCTGTTAAAAAAATATAATGAAATCAATTGTTTATTTAAACTATCTGATTCCTTATGATTGCTGATTTCCTTGAATTAAAATTTGTTGTTTTACAAAGGGTTTTTTTAAATATAAGAAATCTCTTTGACACAAATTACATTTGAAGAGTTAGCCATAAGTAAGATCTGATTTAGTAGTATTATAATTGCAATGTTTGTTGATGCTTTTTTCCCCTTTGCTTCTCTCTCCACATGTATTTTGACACAGTAAAATGGGGAAGTTTACGCATTGGAAGGCAGTAAGACATGATAGAAGCTGAAATAAGTTTATTGAACAAAGCAAAAGAGTAACTTTAACGGCAAAGCATAATTTTTATGGACAAGGCAACATACGAAATTTCAACATATAGAATAGAGTAGAGTAAAGTAGAGTAGAGTAGAGTAGAGTAGAATAGAATAGAATAGAATAGAATAGAATAGAATAGAATAGAATAGAATTAGAAACAGAATACTTTATTGGCCAAGTGTAATTGGACACACAAGGAATTTGTTTACGGTACATAAGCTTGATATAGGACAGTGATGGCGAACCTTTTAGAGACTGAGTGCCCAAACTGCAACCCAAAATCCACTTATGTATTGTCGGGTGCCGGCTGGGCATGGCCCATTGGGTGGGCATGCCCATTGGTTAGGTGTGGCCCATTGGGTGGGCGTAGCTGCGGTGGTAATGGCAGACTGGGTGGGACCAAAAAGTTCAATCAATCAATTCCAACTTTGTGAGATCTTTTTTTTTCCCGCAAGAAGTTGAAATTGATTGATTGAGCCTTTTTTTTTTTTTTTTTTTTGCACACAGCGGTGGAAGCCTAAAGCGAAAACGTTGTATAAAACCTAGCTGAAGGTCTAGGACTGGGGTGACGGCGCACATGCCCACAGAGAGGTCTCTGCATGCCACCTCTGGCACCCGTGCCATAGGTTGGCCACCATGGATATTATAGGAGATGACCAGACTGAGCCCAAGAGAGGGGTCAAAGGGTCATCAGTCTCTGTGCACCCACAAAAAATCTAATTCCAGCCACTTTGAATTCCTTTAACTCTATCTACCACCAATTTGCTTTGACTGTTAGTAGCTTAGTAGAGAACTTTAGCTTGCAATAAATCTTTATACTCATTTGAACTGCCTGAATCTCCTGTTTTCCAAGATGCTTGACCCTCTCAGTGTACATATAAACAACAAGATAATATAATCAGTGTATATACAAACATACAAACAACATGTACATACAAATAACAAGTGTACATGCAAACAAGATAATATAATCATAAGATACCAATAGGAGAAAGTAGTAGAAAAGATGAGAAGGATAATAATAATACAGCCATACTATATGGGTAAATATGGTGTTCAGCAGAGAGATGGTATGAGGGAAAAAAACTCTCTTTGTGTGTAGTTGTTTTGGCATGCCCTATAGAGGCGCCCTGATGGGAGGAGTTGAAACAGTTTGAGTTCAGAATGTGAGAGGTCTGTAGATATTTTCTCAGTCATCTTTCTGACCCATGCAGCATACAAAGTCCTCAATGGAAGGCAGGCTGGTTCCAATTGTTTTTTCTGCAGTTCTAACTATCTATTGAAGTCTGTACTTGTCCTGTTTGGTTGCTGTACCAAACCAGACAGTTATAGAAGTACAAATGACAGACCCAATAATTCCTTTTTATAACTGTATCAACAGCTACTGGGACAGTCTAAACTTTCTGAGTTGATGGAGGAAGAACATTCTTTGTTGTGCGTTTTTAATTATGGTTCTAATATTACTGTAGGTGCCATTTCAAATCCTGGGACATTATAGAACCCAGAAACCTGAAGGTTTCTACTGTTGATGATACAGTATTATCTAATATTGTAAGAGGTGGCAGAATAGGAGAGCTCCTCCTAAAATGGATTTTCATCTCTACAGTTTTAAATGTGTTCAGCTCCAGAGTATTCCGGCTGCACCACAGGGTCAGTTGTTCAACTTCCCATCTGTATGCAGACTCATCACTGTCTCAAATGAGACCAATGACCGTTGTACCATTTGCAAACTTCAGTATTTTAACTGATGGATGCTCTGAGATGCACTCATTTGATAGAAAAGAGTAGTGGAGAAAGCACATAGCCTTGGAGGACACCTGTGCTAATTGAACAGATATTCAATATGATTTTACCCAGTGCTTATCTGGAAAAAAAAGGTGCCGTAACTCACACATGTCATACAACCTGTCTTGCCTACCCTACAAGGTTCCATCCCAAAAAGGTGCCGGAACTCCGTTCTGGGCGTTCTATGACAAAAAAAGCCCTGATTTTACCTAGCTTTGTTAATCGGGATTTTGATAATTCTGATAATGGGTCAAAACGTTCTTATGTTGAAATGGCAGAATTAAAGGTCGGGCTTTATCTGGCCTTTAGAGCTGTGAAAAGTTCCATAAGAAAGCACAAGCCTGTGGATTAAACATGTGATTCAAACTGCAGAAAGTATACATGAGTATTTTTATAACTTCTATACCTAATCTACTGTAA